TTCACTTACTCTTTCTCTAATTATATATTCAAAATTAGTGCCATCCAATCACATTTCCCTTTTTTTCTATTATAAATCGAAACATTTCATCAATCGAAAACTAATAATGTAACCATAATAAAATATTTTCAAGAAGACATAGAGCACTAGTAGACATGTCTCTTAACGGAAGAAGTCCATCCCTACTGAGACCGTTTTTCCCGTTCTCCTCCGCCCCCTCCCAACAAATATTTATAATGGCTCGGTACGAACGTAAAATAACTTAAAATCTTACATACTTGTGTTAACAAATATATAGTAATAAAGTTCATTATTATTATTATTGTTTGGACGGAGTATTCCTTTGTCTAAAATTAACTATTTAACGGCGTTTACGCATTACCCAAACCATGGCAAGGACGAGCGCTTAAAAGTGTAGCTGTGCTCGGCACAGGAATAATTTCCTCTCCAACTCCTATAGAGAAAAGTTATTTCATCTTCTTGCTAAGATTTCAACTGATAGATTTTTTTTTTCTTAATTTAGATTGCGAGTTACGACTTCGGTACTTGTACATGTAATCTGTTTTTTTTTCAAGTGATCAAGCCCTCAGCATCCATTTATATATGCTCTTTGGAATAAGAAAATAGCGGGACATTCCAGATATATCAAATGATGAAGCCGTGCTTAAGGCAAATGTATTCAAATCGTTGATAGCTCGAGTCTAGAATTCTCGATAAATCATACCTTCCTTGGTTAATTGTTTCTACAAGATTCGGTTATTTGATAACTTTATCGCTTTTAAGCTACTATTTGAACTGAGAAAAAAATTGATTCGATAAAAATAACGCTGTATTATTTCGCAATTAATGGTACTAGGCGAAGTACTAATTATTTTGCAAATATTTTTTATAACGTTATAAAAAAAGTATCGAGTTATTTCAAAAAACATACTTAATAGGAGCACACTGTAGGTATTTAGTTCGTAAGATGAATGAATTATCCACAAGCCAAGTTTTAATATAATATTAAAGAAAAAGGTATTAACTAAGAAATCATGCGAACTAACATCATTAGGATTATTTTATACGTTCAATTCAATCACATTTCTAATTCCACTAATACAAAATACTTATTAATTATTGAACCTATATTTTTACTTAAGAAAAAGACCGTTAACGCTCATTTTTAAGTATTATAACTGCTTTCTACTCAAACTAGTTTAATAAATTATATCTTTCGACGAATTTACAAGTTTTCATCAGTTGGTATCAGTTTTTCATGTATTGAAATACGCATATTTTAATTTAAGTAATCCTTAATTACCATATCTTAAACTTTTCTTAAAGATAACTTATTTTATTTTCTGATAGCCGAACAGGTTTTGTTTTTACCTTCTGATTTCTTTTATATTATTCATAGATGTGAATATGTTTTATTTATTTTAATTTCACTCAGCTTCAACCTGTTATTTTATTATTATAAATATTAATTCTCTTTATCTTATATACTTTTTTCCATTTTATTAATTTTGATAGGTTATATTTATTTCCATTTTGTATGTACATATTACATGAATGAATGCTGTAGCCATAATGTTTAATGCCCTTCAATGAGGCAGATTAATACTCAATAATCTGGTTAAAAAGAAAAATATTTAATACTTATATAATATAATAATTAAATTATTTTTAGGTCATTTTATATTTTACTGTACATAGTTATTGATTCTTATTTAGTTATTATTTTGCTTTTTTTAATTTTATGGTCACTGCATATATGGTGTGAATGTGTTCATATCTCACTGTAAATATTGTCCACGTGACAGATTATTATATTTCTAAATAAATAAAAAATTCACTCTAAAAAAAATAATTAAATAAAATATATAACCAATATTTTTGTTACATACATTATATCGGACGAGATTAGGTTTAGTTGTAAATTTATTTGTTACCATACACGAAACAAATTATTCTCGAGTCTGTTAATTTAACCGTGCTTAACTTGGCACTGGAATTTTGACGATTGCTAGATTGTAGAAAATTAAAAACCGAATAAAATTAATGAACAATAACTATAAATCCTGAAACCAAATCCGAGATGCCAATTTTTTATCAAAGGCATCATCTATTCCAAAGCTAATAAAAATAATTTGATTTCAATATGTCCGATGAAAGTTTATATTAACGAGCAAATGTAATCTAATATCGACTATCTTCAGACTTATTAAGCAAGCAATCTTGCGGATTAATGATACATTTAGTGCCAAGAAAGGGGTAAGTTAATATCCGCACCATGAGATTTATGATGCAAATCGATTTATACGTAATGTGTGAAGAATGGTGATTGGAAAAAAGATAAATATGAAAACATTACGCTCAGTTTTTGTTAAAATCTGATTTCGATAGTTGGACCCAATAAAATGATCCAAAGTAAAAGGAAATGTGGTGAGCGCCTGGTCTAGCGTCCACGTCGACAACAATATCCAAGTATCGAATAATTGCAATAGAATCTCCAGGAAAGGAAAAGCAAATAAATTAAATACCAGTGCAATCAATGTAATTCCAACACTTGAGTAGTTTCAACTAGAAAGGAAATGAAAATTATAAATGCGGAAACAAAGTTTCGTTAAAGAAAGAAGAGACAAAAAAAATACGCAGAGAGCCATAGGCAAAGTTTTGATAATGAAAAACGGCCACATGCCCTACCGAATAGTCATTTTTTTTTAGCTCATTCGCGTACAATCTTCCCAGTATTATAACAGTGGTTATCTTCATATTTATCCCTCATCTTTTTTTATAGAAATTGGACAAGTTTAAAAGCAAGATGCTCAGTTGTCCAATGTACAGCGGAAAACGATGGCTTGGTAACAATCCCTTCTATAAAGAAAAGATGCACTAGAAAGTTCCTCCAAAAGTCCAAACAAATATTTTCTTAAAAACATTGATTTTTATGTACACTATTTCATTGTTTTAAGTTAATTTAATTTAAGTATGTATTTATTGCGTTTTATCTTTTATGGTTTGTTGTTCTGTACACACTCCCCCGCCTTATCCAGATATCCCTATTTAAATTAAGTCAAACTACAAAATAAACAATTGAAACCAAGATGCTTTAGAGGTAGGAGATGGTCCGGGGGGTGGTAGTAAATAGACTAAAATAGCGGCAACACTATTTTATTTTAAGCCAACGTTTTGACCTGACTTTGCAGGTCTTCTTTAGGGAGGTGTGTTCAGCAGCTAGTTGAGTTACTAAAACTCCTTGCAGAACACACCTCCCTGAAGAAGACCTGCAAATTCAGGTCGAAACGTTGGCTTTCAATAAAATAGTATTGCCACTATTTTAGTCTATTTATGACCGCCACCCCGGATCATCTCCTTCCTCTAAAATACAAGATGCTTTAGCTTCATCATCCCATTCCCATTCTCTTAATACATTTTTAATTTTTTTTTTTTTTTTACTATTTATAAAATTATCATCTCTTCAATATCAAAAATTAAAAGACATGGCGTACAAGTATATAGCAATTGGTCATTTAAACAGTATATATTTAGTTTGGCTCAAATCTGTTCATTATCAATGAAAGAAGCAAAAGTTTACATTGGCAACTAATATTACTAATTTCAACTTGCTTTGTTTAGTTATTTTTCCATTTAGGGGTGTATATGTATTTATTAATTTTTTTTATTGTGAGATGGCAAGAAAAAAATATCTTTTAGATTCTATATCGATCAATCTATTGACGGGATTATAGTTAATATGCGTATTGGCACATGTAAAACACAAATGGAATACGTTTGGAAGGCTCCAACTGATTTCATTCCATCGTATCCATATAGTATAGCCACCATGTGCCACCTGTCAACAGCTTTCAATTACTTATTTATTTTATTACTTGATATATGAATTTAGGGTGTGATATAATAAACCATCAATTACAATCCTATATGCTGATAAATAATTAATTGATTATAAAAATTATCCCATGAGTACATATGTGTAAAACAATCAAAATAACTCGATTAAGATCTGATGTCAAATTGGGCATTATCTCAAGCCAAAATCATTACACTGATTATATGTCTTCCATTCGGATGTTCGAAAATTTTAAAAAACCCATTATAATTTTTAATTTCAAAACATTTATTATGAGGTTTAAAAAAAAATAAAATAGATGAATGAGTTGGAAAATGAATGGGTGATCAAGCATCAGGTATAACAAAAGGAAAGCTGTTGTGAAAACTTGTCAAGTGCAAAGCCCATATCGAAACAAAATATTTTTTGCCTTCCGTATTAAGATTACATACCATTATTCAACTTTTCAGCCGTTGCAAAATTTCTTCCTCACATTATCCTATCAAGTCCCTTATTTCTGTGCATGCAACGGCAAATAATTAATAAAAAGATGAAAGTAACTTCCCAAAATTACTGTTGTCTAAATAAATGGATATGTATTTATAACAGCTTCAAAACGTTTAATTCGAATCGACAAACAACCGTTTTATTTTGATAAGATATCACTTTAAAAAAAGTAAGAAACTCCATTATTTATCGGCATTCGTTCGTTATAGTTGCTAATACTACCTTCAATTAACCAATAGGCTATTAAAACAACTACAGATATTAATTTGTGAGTGTGTACAGTCGAATATCGCGTAGCAGTGCAAAGGATATCACATTATATATCACATACGTACGATTAACAGACAATTTATGAATAGATTTGGATAGCGATGCTCAACACAAGTCAACCGTACCGAATTATCATACTGTGCGATGAAATTCTTCAAAATACATTCCGGACGTACGATTTATATGCCGTTGCAAGAGTGAAACGAACAGAACTCACCCACTCTACTGACAGCGAATGGCAGGACGGGTAGCATGTAGTGCCCCCACCATAACCTAGTAAGCCACGCCCACCACCACGCCCCCACTGGAAAAAGGACCAATGAGACGAGGTTGGAACCCCCCTCCCTGATGGCCTAGAGGCAGTTAGCCCTCCGGCTCAGTCTGGAGCGTGCCCCCTAGCGATGTACATTGACGAGCAGCACCGGCCCAACCACTATCTGATGGTGAGTCCACATTCTCCCCTCCACTCTTGCTAAATATTCTCATGGAATATGTCCTTTTGCCGCCATTAATATTCCCTCTTGAGATATCCTCCTTACATAATTATTATAATAATCTTATCTTAACATGCTATTCTTTCATATAAGGACAACTGCCAAGCCTATTGTGTCACTAATTCAATCGGTGCCGCTTGTCTCTCCTGATATATTACTAATTGGATCATTCTTTTCTCTAATATTAGATTTAATCATAGGTTTGGACCAGTTGGTAGCCAATCCACACTAGCCAATCTACACTAGCCAATTTTCAATTTCATCCTGATAAGGCACATACCTACTTCTCCATGAAAATTACTTATTAAGTTGAAGCTATTACACATTAATAATAATAATAATTATATAAATAAATAAATAAATATATACATATATATACATATATATATATATATATATATATATATATATATATATATATATATATATATATACTGATTATAAAAATACTTATCTTACTTATAATTAATTAATTCTAAATTTAATACGGAGGGTGACTTAGATAAATAAATACAGCTACACCACATTATAAAACTTATGCCATTACAGGACTGAATGAATTTAAATGGGAAATGTATTTCTCAATCACAAAACGAATAAGTAACAACGGAAGTAAGCTCGAGGCCTCCTTATTCATTTGAATTTTAATTTGTTAAATTTTTTTTTTAATGTATAGCTATTTCGTTTTCTTCCAACCAACTAGTTGATAAACCTCCGAAATATTTTTCCAGATTTAACGGTTGTGTCTAACAAAGTTTTTTTTTCCTAATTAACATTCTTTATATATATTTTTACATATTATGATTTTATTTTGGAGATGCTGGTTAGTTACTTTGATATTGTTATTTTCATATCGTCTGCTTACTACTATACATTTTACATATCTATCTCAGTTTTCTACCTATATTTATATCTTTTCCCAACATTCAAACTTTCCAAGGAGAAAAAAGAGATAAAATTGGCATCCAAACATGTTTCATTTATACTTCATCGACACATTAGATTATAATAGATGTATTGTTGTAAAATGTCCTGAAGATAGAATGATCTTTCAAAGTTTGTTGGACTAATTAATATCGTTGCTATGACAATTAACTAGAAAAAAATGTTTTCTTTACCATGGCCTATGCCAGAAGTACCAACCCTCTGCTGACGTCGTATGTGCTAGCGGGAAACATTTTGTCTGCTTGACAGCCACCATTGCAACAAGGCAGCAACACCATTATTGAACAGTGTCCTGCTTCTGTTTTAATTAAATGTCATTTATATACTTTAAATCATTAATTATAAGTATTAATGTATTTGTTTGGAAATAGTAATAACCTGATATCATAGTAAATTTAAAACATTTGTTTGTCCATCTCCATAATTGTTTAACTTTTTCGTATCTCAGCGATATCAAACATTAAAGTCAATTTTAACAATACTGTTTACGCCAATCTCTTATTTTATTGTTACAAATTAGTTCTTCCATTTTAATATCAAAATGTTTGAATGACTATAATAAATATTATTTTATGATAACATATTCTTCTGATTATGAAGCATTGATTAATGAAATACGCCATCAACATTGGAGGGAGGTAGTTGGCATCCATCTCAGTATCTTATAAAGAAATTTTTCACCCTTAAAACATAAATTTTTAATGTATCATAAAATAACTGTGCATTTAATCAGGGCTTCACAACCAATACTTTTTATATGTATATGCGACTAAGATAAGACTGAAAAATAATAATGGAAGTTATAAATGTGCCGACAACTTATAATGTCCTCACAGGTTGATGAAGGCTGAGGGCTTCTATTCTGTGCAATAATAATATTTATAACAACTGCAAAGTCTCGATACTTATAAATAGATAAAATCAAAATTGATTTAGCTTGTACAGAAAATGTGAGAAGTATTCCTGAATATGTTGGGCTATAAAGTAGCAGTTTCAAATAAAAATATAGCTAAATCTAGAGTACAGTTTCAAATCCCATCTTTGATCCCACTTATTTGCGTTTAATTTTTGATTGACTTGTTAAATTCCTGAGTTAATAGTTACCTACCATCGTTTTCCAGAAACCAACTCGATCCTTATCATTATACTACACATTCAAACTTTCGCCAGCTTGTAAGAATTTTTAGGCTACGTAAATACAATTGCTCAGCAATATTTAAATGATAAGAGCCTTTTTATTTTTATATCAATTTTTCTCTCTGTATATTTTGTATCTTTTCTTAGTGTTTTCCATATATCTGTATCACATCCACATGTCAGACTGATGTATATATTTTTTGAGATTTGTTATTATTCTAAGGGGACTTTAGTTCCTGAATAAAATTAATGTTTCATTTCATCCTGTGACAACTAGGCCACTAAGAATAACAAAACTATAAAGCAGCATTTATCTGACTGTATTATAGACTTAATTGATTTTAAACTAAAAGACAAGTAATAAACAATAACGTAAATAAAATTAAAAATATGTACTATATAAATATTTATGCGAGCTTACATCGCCATTCGTTCTTCATATGAATGTGGAGACTACTCATTGAAAAGATGGACAAATGAATGGTGTTTAAATGATGTTAGTGATGGTTTTATTTGAATAGAGATGAGTACGGAATCCCAAAAGAAGGTAGTTTGAATAATAAATGGATTATTCAACGGAGCAGTTCTATACACGGTGTTTCAGGGTTAAGTGGCCTAACTGAAAAAAATAAATTAAGGGCCTCAAAACAAGAAAAAAATTTCCTCTGAAGGTATGTTTGCAAACGCTTTGTTTAGGAGATATTCATACCTAAAGATTTTCATAGTTATAAATTACTTACGTTATATGAAATAAATAAAACCCATTTATGTGTTCTAACAACTTTATTAATTAAATGTAAACATTATCATTCATATTAAATGTTGTTCAAAGTGATTTCCTTTAGAATTAAGACAGGCTCGGCATCTTTCTTCAACAGAAGCAGCGGCAAAACGGCACTGGATATGTGTTATTGTTTCACAAGATTCAGTTATCCTTCTTCGTAAGGAATTAAGGTCACTGGCCGGACTTACTCAATCATATCCCATACCTCAATCAATGGATTGGCCATGCAGGACCAGTGGCTGGGCCTGCACGCTCTCCAGACCTGACTCCACTGGATTTTTTTGTTTGGGGTGATATTAAACAAAAAGTCTATGAAAGTCCGGTCAATTAACTTAATTTCTGACGAAGAAGGATAATTGAATCTTGTGAAACGATAGATAACACAAATCCAGTGCCGTTCTGCCACTGCTGCTGTTGAAGAAAGATGCCGAGCCTGTCCTAATGCTCAAGGAAATCACTTTGAACAACAATTAACATGAATGTTAATGTTTACATTTATTTCATATAACGTAAATAATTCATAACAATGAAAACCTTTATGTGTGACTATCTCCTAAACATAACGTTTCCGGACATACCTTCAGAGGACATTTTTTTTTAGGTCCTTAGTTCATTTTTGCATTTTGGCCACTTAATCCTCAAACACCCTGTACAAACACGAAACGATAGGCATCGAGTTTGATGAGGTCTCGTATTTAAGGGATGGATGGGAGAATGCCAAGTGTGTAGGTCAACAATCATTTTGTGGTTCTCAAGAATTAAAAAATGAAAGTACCAAGAAGATATGTTGGTCGAGAATTAGGATATCTACCATTGTCAGAAATCGTTGAGAACGTCTTGGAACAAAAAAAAAATGAATCTTATTAATGTTTTAAGTCTCATCTTGCGCTTAGGAGATAGTGCTAGTACACACTAGACATCCATTGTCACACTTGAGGAGAATGAGTGAGGATACTAGGCGATGGGGGAATCATCATTGAATCAGAAAATCTATTCAAGGATTGAGGTGTAATCTCCAATTTTGATTTGGAGGATAGGATTAGGCCAGATAGATATTGAGCAATGTTAACTCTCATTTTCGCTATTCTCAGGCACAACTCTTTTTCCGAAACCCAACGGTTAATGATATCAATATAATCTTCCTCCTGCATCTGGGGAAGGTATGATACTGAGAGTGGTGGATAGATTTTAGAAGATCGTTTATATATGTAGATGTGTAGAGGGAAAATAATGTATGTGAGAGGTCAAAGAGAAAACAAAATGTGCTCATCCTTCTTAAGCAAGGAAGGGTCTATACCCGCCACATGTAGCCTTCATAGATTTAACATTTTGACTTTAAAATGACAAGCCCGAAAATCTACCATATATTTGCGAAAATTAATAACCAAGTTTGAACTGTGATTTACTATATTTAAATAAGATAAAATCGCACTTAGTTTTAACAGTTTTCCTTTATTCAGAGAACTGAGATGTAAACATATTTATAAAACGTCAAGGATTGAAGAAATTAATTTTAAAATGTTGACATACAATTCCTATCAAAATCACGCTTTACGTAAATTGAGTTGGTAATTAGAAATTAGTTCATAAAAAAAAAGCAAATAAAACTTTTTGGAAGCAGCTATATTTGCGAACAATTAATTCCGGATATAAATATAATTGTGAAAGTTGATTAATCGAAATTAGATGATGTGCCGATAAAAAGCTGCATTGGGAGCGCTGTCTTCTTTATCAACAAGTATAGACCAATTCGTAGCAAAGAAGCTGCCACGAATTCTTTATTAAATAATATATTACAGCATATATCGTTCGTCATTTTTACAAGTATTACTATTTATGACGGATTTAAATTTGTAATTTTCATTTATTGATATTGGCAGCTGTATAAGTAAATACAACAAATAAATCTGCTATAAGATGATATAAAAATGATATGAGCTGGTGAAGAAGCTATCAATTGGTAGAACTTGAATGATTAGATTTATTTATGAACTCCCTTGGCCATCTTCTTTTCAGGCGGCTCAGAGGGTTTTCAGGAATTGTTTTGGATGAAAGGTAATGAACTAGAGGGTTGGGCTGACCT